ACCAGCCAGTTGTATCCTTCTGCCTGATGGATGTCCCTTCATACTTCCCCACATCAGGGATTTACCTCCAACATGCTCATTTTCCAAGCAGGCGACATCATCAGAAGTTTTATTTTTTGGCTGGGAAAGCTGCTGAGTGCGGGGCTGGCGGGGACCTTCACGTCTCTCTCCCGAAGCTTTTGTGAAGGCATTACAGCCCCCGTCTCCTCCTCCTCGCAGATGATCATGTGGCCGCTGGTGCTGAGCGGGATCGTTGGCAACGTCGTCAACGTGATCGCAAACTGTGTCTTCCTCTACGTGCTCCACTTGGGCATCACGTGAGTAGCACCCGCATCCCACCGAGGGGAAAACACGACACCGGGAAACGGCAAGGGACTTCTCAGGGACGTCAGCATCCTCAGGCGCGGCCGAACATCCGGCACTTGCGGGGGCACAGGAGGACGTTACGCTCTGGCACCCCGAGGCCGGGGAGGCATCAGCAGGATGGCAATGACCTTTCTCATTTCCTTTGCAGGGGCTCTGCCTGGGCCAACACTGTTGCTCAGTATTCACAAACCGTTTTCTTGTTCCTGTATATTATAGGCAAGAAGCTCCATGTGAAGACCTGGGGAGGTAAGGGCATGTCCCCAGCTCTCCCATTCCCACTTTACACAAGGGTTCATGACTCTCCCACCATTTCTATGCAGCGAATTCTGTTAGTCTTGATGGTGAAATATTAACTGCAGCCTGGTACGTTCCCAGGAACGTGGTGCTGCTTCGGTGGTAGCATGTCATGCGCGAGCGTTGGCAGAGCACTGCGCTGGGCAGTAAACATTAATTCTGGAGAAATGAAACTTTCTACCGAACCTGTGTAGCGTTCAGCCCCAAAACCAGATGAGCACAGACGTAAACATGAGGTTGTCCTTGGATACTCTGCTCCGGGAGGGATGAGCTGAGGGTTGCACCGCTCCGTGGCCCACAGGATGGCATCAGCAGAGTGCATACGTGCCTGCTTTGCTGCTGGAGGTCCTATGGAGCTGAGGAGCATCGTCCTGGTGGCTCTGCAAAAAGGAGCAGCACCTCCAGCTGCCTCGTGTGCTCTGGAGGATGTAACACGGGGCCAGTCTGATCATCCATCAAGTGACATTTCTCCTCTCCACAGGTTGGTCCAGCGAGTGCCTGCTGGAGTGGGACAGCTTCACCTCCCTGGCTGTCCCCAGCATGCTCATGATGTGCATCGAGTGGTGGACCTATGAAATTGGGAGCTTCTTGATAGGTCAGTGGAGAGGTGGACACGGCATGACCCAGAGCCATGTCTGCAGCAGTCGCCGAGCGCGGCTCTCCCCTGGGCACCCACACCCAGCACTAACCCCCCTCTTTTCCCCCAGGCCTGCTGAGTGTCATAGAGCTCTCGGCCCAGTCCATCATCTATGAGGTGTCCGTTGTCGCTTTCATGGTAAGGGCTGGGGGTTATTATTTCAGACCAGGGCTCCCTAGGGACAGTCCCAGCACAGACACCCAGAGAAATTCAGCTCCAGCAAATCTGTCTTACCCCCTTGCACTTAAGCTTCTCCCTGCTCCTGCCTATCCCTCCTACGGAGATGTTTTAAACTAAATCCTGAACTCCATCCCCCTCTCTGCTGGGTGGTTATTCTGCTGTCACTACCACGGCCCCATTACCTGGATGCACACGTGAGCCTCAGCCCTGTGGTTACAGATCCCTCTGGGGCTCGCCACGGCTGCCAGCGTGCAGGTGGGGAACGCACTGGGTGCCGGCGACGTCGAGACGGCCAAGAGATCCTCCTCCACCAGCCTGCTCTGCACAGGTCAGGGAAACCTTTGCTGCAGCTCCAGGCACAGCGGGAGCGGGGAGAATTCGCAGTCCCATGGCGCACACCCGTGTCCCCTCTTCTCCCCGTGCTCTCTCTCTTCGGCTGCTCCTGAGCTCCCCGTCACAGCCGGGCTGGGCTCAGCGCTTTGCTCTGGTTTTCAGGGGGCTTTTGCATAGCTGTGGGGGCCATTTTAGCCAGCGCGAAGGACATGCTGGGATACATCTTCACCCGTGACAAGTGAGTGCCCCCAGCTCCTGGCCTGGGTGTGTGGAGGTCAGTTCCCAAAAGTGATCGTTGGCTCTTCTCTGCCCCCAGGGAGATTGTTGACTTGGTGGCCTGGGTCATGCCTGTCTACATTGTCTTCCACTTGTTTGAAGCCATGTGTGTAAGTCCCTGGGGCTGCTGCTGTTTTCATTAGGGGACCTCAGTGCTGAGCAGCAGCACCACGGGTCAGGCAGTCAAGGGTCCCTCAGGAGGGGCTGCATGTGAGCACCGGCACACACACACTGGGATCCTGCTGAGCTTCTGGGACCACTCCTTCAGAAACAGTATGTAAAAAGATGATGACCCGCAGGACCAGGCAGGGACACAGAAATAACCAGGCAGAGGCAGGGAGCTGGTTCATCACCAGGCTGGTTCACCAGCCGAGCCTCGAATTTGGCCAAGGCAGTGCTCCCAGCCCCGGCCCCAGCCCCAGCCCCTCTCCCTCTCCCCGGCAGGGCGCCTGCAGCGGGGTGCTCAGAGGCATAGGCAAGCAGAAATTCGGCGCCATCCTCAACGCTCTGAGCTACTACGGTGTGGGCCTGCCCCTGGGAGCCGTGCTGCTCTTCGTGGTCAAGATCGGCGTCATAGGTACCGACCTCCGGGCACGCAGCTCTGCGTGCCCCCAGATCCCCCGCGGGTAGATGCAGCACCCCCAGCTCTGCTGATGGCTCACGGTGACCCTCCTAGCTGGCTGAGTACTAGGCATACTGCGGGGGACTGGGACAGCCCCTGCAACTACTGAGAGCTTTTAATTGTACTGGGAAAAAGCAACTGCTGCCAGTTCTGCTGGGCAGCCCTGCACCAGCCACCCACAGCTCAGCCCATCCCCGTGTCCCTGCTGACCTCGGTGGCATCCCCTTTCTTGGCTGGCTGTCCCGGGGTGCCATCTGGGTTGGGTTTGCTCCGGCCGTGGCAGCGCGCTGACGCCGGCATGCCCTCTGCAGGCCTGTGGCTCAGCATGCTGGTCTGCGTCTCCATCCTCTGCACGTGCTTCATCGCCTACATCTCCCGCATGGACTGGAGGAAGGCGGCCGAGGAGGTAACCCGTGCGCCCACAGCATCGCACCCGGCCAGTGGGAAGGTCCTCAGTGCCTCGGCTGGGATCACAGTGGGATGAGACAGCATCACAGGCTTAATCTCACAGGCCAGAGCTGTCCTCCAGTGCCCCCACCAAAACCCAGTGCTCCCATGACCACAACCACATCCCTGTACTCAGCTCCCGGCCTCAAGGTTTCCCTCTGCACCTTGTGCCACCCTTGGTTGGGGACATGAAGCACAAAAGCAGACAGGGTGACCGAGGCCACCTCAACCCTGCAGCCCTGAGCATCACCCTTGCGCCCCAACAGCTCCAGGGTTTCCAACAGCCAGCGTCTCTCATTTTGGGGATCTTGCAGCTACACAGTGCCACTTCCAGACAGACGAACCCCCACAAGAGGCAACACGTTGGCTTTGCACCGTGGTGATCTCCCGCACCACGTGCTGCTGGTTAAACTCACCGTGTTTCCCCCTCCCAGGCTCAGCGCCGCGCAGGAGTGACCCAGCCACCGCCAGAGGAGCCGAACCCGGGCCCTGAATCCTCCTGCAAGGCACTTCCCTCCGGTGTGGGGCCAGCCCCACCACGCCATGCTTACCCCCCCGCCATGGCGGTGCGGGGGTGTGTAGGTATGGCCAGGAACTGGGCATGGTGGGATGGGGGAGCTGGGCACTGAGTGAGGGGGTGGGTTTGGGTCCAGGAAGGGTCCCTGAGGATTCACATAAACGAGGAAACAAGCCCATGCAATGGGGGGTGCAGCGTAGTACTGGTGATGCCCTCAGTTACTGCGAAAACAGTAATTACACAGGTGGGCTCAGGAGGGTGACAGAGGCTGGCAGGAGGACCTAAAGGGATGGGGCACCCTGGGCAGTTCTCACCTTGCAGACACCAGGTCCCACCACAGCTCTGTCGAGGGCTGGAGATCTCCACGCTCTGGGCTGCTCATAACCTGCTTTCAGACCTCAGACAAAACCCTCCCAAGAAACCCCTCCAGCCCCTGCGAAAGTCCTCAGCGGCGCTGCCCCGCTCTCCCTGCAGCCGGAGTGGACACGCAGAACGGTGTCGTGCTCACGGGCATCACCAGGATGGAGGGACCGACCTACCAGCTGGAGGCCCAGGAAGCCACGTCTGTCACGTCCCCTCCGGCCACTGCCACGGTCACCAAGGAGCTGATCATCCGGCGCGGGCTGGCGGTGGCCGCAGCCGTCGCGGTACTTGTGCTCGGCATTGTCGTAAAGCTGACAACCAGCAAACACTGACTCGCACTGACAGGGACTGTGGGGACTTTGCTTTGGGGGCAAAAGCCCTTCCTGACGGATGGACGTACAAAGCACAGACCGGCCAGCAAGAGAATCCCGCACACGCCTGTCCCGTGGGAGCCAAAGGCCCCCCGTCAGCATTTCGGCAGCATCTGCTCAGCCACCGCTCGCAAACGGGCCCTGCGACTGCTCCAACACCCAAAACGCTGCTCTGGGCTGCCCGACGCACACCAAGAGTGTGGGTAACCCCCTCCAGCCCACGCTGCCGGCTATCACCTGCCGACCAGAGCTGAGCACAGCCCGGCTCACACCGCTGCTCCGTGACAAATGCCAAATAAAGAATAAACCCAGCTGGGCTCGGGCTGGCTCCTTTGAGTGGAGGCTGAGGGCAGGGCTCGGGCTGGGGCAGGGGAACATCCAGTGCTGGAGGCTGCAGCCCAGGGCCTGTGGGTCTTGCTCTGCACCATGTGGTCTTCACAGTAAAACAAAGGTTTTATTCGGCAAGGTGCAGGGTCAGCTTCCAGTTACAAATTTGGAGGTAAAAGACTACCAGCAAACCAATAAAAAAGGGAAATTTAAATTACTGGTGAGATGGCTGGCTGCTCAGCCACTCTGGCCCAGGATTTCCCCCGACCTGGGGCTCCGATCACAGCCATGCCCCTGTTGGCACACAGCCCCAGCTGCAGTGGTGCGACAGTCCCCAGTGCTCCTCGAGTCCTTGGGGCAGTGTGGCCACAGCTCAGAAGGCCTTTGCTGTCACCACAAGTAGCCTTTTTACACCTTGGATGGCTGAATGTGATTTCCCCTGTAATGAGACATCACCCGTTCAGCTGTGAGTCCTTTCAAGGATGGGATGTTGCAAGTTCTTAGAAGCTCTTTCCATCTGCTCTGGGCAGGCAGCTGGGGACAACCAGCCTGAACTGTCCGCAACAGCAAGATCCACATTTTGTTAGGCTTATTGCTGGTATGAGAGCTTTCTACGGGGATCGTGCAAGGTGTTATGTAGGTAATATGCTCAGCAAAAACTGCCTTTGTTCTAATACCCTAGTGACAAACTATGCCCCCATTCCCAAGAGCTTTTAGATGAGCTCCTGTTTGCAAATCAGGGCAGATGCTGCCTCCTTCCATCTGCTGCCACTCACTGCTGAAGGCACAACCTTTGCCACCACCGCTGCCACGCTCCCCAGCAGGGCCAAGACGACCAGTCCCATTTGAGTCTTGTTAAACCGCTTCAAGAGGAAGAACTTGGCCCAATCCACCTTCTTCTGGCTGCCAGGTGGGTACCGGAGTTTGTTCGTGCCCTCCATCTTCAGGTCCTTGATCAAGCAGGCGCGGCGGTGGGAGAAGGTCTCAAAGCTGTGCTTGCCGTGGTAGGCGCCCATCCCGCTGTTACCTGAGGGACACAACCCAGGCAGGTCACACTGTGAACAGTGACAGTTACATTTCTCAAATTCTGTTTGGCAGCCCCCAGGACACAGGGAAAGCTTGGTCATGGTGCTTCTCACACTTGGAGCAGCTGCTCTACTCACCAAGAGCAGAGATGCAAAGAGCAGCTTTAATAACTACCCAGAAATAAGCGAGGACATGCTCACTGCCTTGAACTGGTGCTCAGTCTGGTTGTGTGCACCCACCCTTGAATGTTAACGGCACCAGTCCTCTCCTCCCCAGGGCCAGTCCTGCTTCTTCCACAAAATTTACACTGGGGTCGGGGACAGGTGGAACAGGGTGTATTATTTCAAGCAGTGGGACATAAGAAGGACATTCAGCAACCTGCCATCAGAAAGACCCAAGACTTCAGCCATCTACCCACAGCCAGGCTGTCTCTGCCACAAAGCCATGAGCATCACAGTGAACACAGACACTCAGCCAGGTGCTTGGCCACAGACAACTTCATCCCACGCCCTGACACAGAAGAACTAGAGCTGCGGACAGATGTGTCAGAGGATTTTCCTCTCCCACTAGCAGCAGCATTGCTCCAACCACTAACAAGCCTTTTTACAAAAGAACCCACCAGTGAAAATAACATTAATTGGGAAAATGCAGCTGAAAGTTCCTGAATTGCCAAAGGGCCATGACAGCACCTGGGTCAGAGGCTGCTGCTGCAAAACTGAAACCAGGCGTATGGGTTGGAGCAGGGACCTACCCACGCCGCCGAAGGGCGGACCCGGAACCACAGAGTGCATGATGACATCGCTCGCTGTCACACCGCCACTGGAGGGCTCCGATATCACCCATCTGATCACCTACCCAGGATGAGAGATCACAGAATGGAGGGAAATCAAGATGGGCCACCAGCACCATGGCATTTACCAGAGAAGGCGGGTGTCAAGATAATGCTAATGTCCTGCTTTGTGGTGGGGGACAGGATGTGCCCTATTCCTTCAGATAAGACAGGTTTATATTAGTTAAGTACAAGACCTGCCTAGCTGGAACAGCCATGAAATGAAAAGGTTCCATCTCAGCAGGACAGGTCAGAGGTGGCCATGCATTGGCTGGAGCTTGGGGTGCTCCTCTGCCCTCCCACCTGAACCGCCCGGGACTGTTGTGTCATTGCAAAGCCCAGACCTAAATTCCTGATCTGGCACAACAGAGCCTGGAGCAAGGGCAGGAGACACTCAAGGAATGAGCATCCATCAGCATGGGTTGGCCAGCTGAGGAGCACAGGGACCTGTGCAAACCTAGAGGCCTTCAGCAGGAGCCTGGGAGGCTCCAGCAGCTCTGGGGACACTCGTGGCCCCTGGGAGCCAAACGCTGTGATTCACGTGCAAAGAGGAGCCGACACGGACCCGGTGGGGAGCCGTGCCTGGGACCCTCCACGTTCAGCACTGAACGGCGCAGACACGTCTCTGTGGGTGAGCACAGCCCACACCCACCTTCTTGTTGTTGGAGAAGACATAGAGGGCAAGGGGCTTCTCCCGACGGTTGATGAACTCAATGGCTTCGTCTACGCTCTTCACGGTCAGAATGGGGAGGACCGGTCCAAAGATTTCCTCCTCCATCACCTTTGACTCCGGAGAAACGTCGGTGAGGATAGTGGGGGCTGAAGCAAGAGACAGCGTGAGCCAGACACAAGATCCCACCCTCCACCTCCTCACCCCAGCAGCAGCCAGAAGCACCTATGAAGCAGGAGGCCTCGTCAGCCTCTCCTCCATGAGCGATCTTCTGCCCTTCCAACAGGCCCAGGATCCTCTTGAAGTGATGTTTGTTGACGATCCTTTCATAATCGGGAGACGACTTCACGTCTTCCCCGTAGAACTCCTGCCACGGGGCACAGCAGAACCAAAGTGCTCAGCGGACTGTCACAACAGCCACAGCTCCAGGGCTGCAGCTCCAGAAGCTCAGACCTGGGCTCTAACGGGGACAACTCCCCCGGCACGAGGAACTCCACGCTCACCTGCAGAGTCGCCTTGATGTTCTCCACCACCTCGCTCTGGATGGACGGGTCGCAGAGGATGTAATCGGGGGCGATGCAGGTTTGCCCACAGTTCATGTACTTCCCCCACGTTATCCGCCTGCGGGGGAAAGGCAGATAGATGGGTTCTCCATGCTCAGGCCCTTCCAGACCCCACAGCCCGGCCAACAGCGCCCCAGCGACACCCGCGCCCTGCAGACAGGGGCCCAGAGATGTCCACCTGTCCCACGCGGTCCCTGCCCCACTGCTGAGACCCTGCCAAGGGCTTCAAGACCTGCAGGCGACGGCCAGGTCACAGTCCTTGTCGATGTAGCAGGGGCTCTTCCCGCCCAGCTCCAGGGTGACGGGCGTCAGGTGCTTGGCGGCCACCGCCATCACGATTTTGCCGACTGTGGAGTTGCCGGTGTAGAGGATGTGATCGAACCGCTGGGTCAGCAGCGCCGTTGTCTCCGGCACTCCTCCAGTGACCACGGGGTACAGCTCCTGCGGGACACAAGCATCGGGGTCACCCCAACCCAGCGCGTCACTCTGGCAGAGAGAAACCCAGGGACTGACATGGGGCCACACTCATGCGGTCAAGGTACTGGGGGAGGAGATCAGCCACTAGCTGAGCCATGTTCGCGCTGATCTCCGATGGCTTCACCACCACGGCGTTGCCTGCAAGACAAACGCAGCACGGCCGCTGAGCCCTCGCGTTCCTCTCCCACACCCGCCCCACGGCCCCACGAAGGACAGGGGCTGTGGTGGGTCCCCACCTGCCGCGATGGCCCCGACCAGAGGCTGCATCACCAGGACAAAGGGGTAGTTCCAGGCCCCGATGATCAGCACCACCCCCAGCGGCTCGGGGCAGATGTACGCCTCGTCCCGCATCGTCAGCAGGTTCTTCTTCACGGGCTGAGGGGCTGCCCAGGACGGCAGCTTGTCCATGGCCAGGGCCAGCTCCCCCAGCACGCCCAGGATCTCGTGGCTGTACGCGTTGGGCCCACACTGCAACGACAGGGAGCTTGGGGAGGGGACGGCCAAGGCACCCACCTCCTGCCCAAGGAAACAAGGTAAATTCTGCTGGTTCAAAGTGTCTGACAATGGTGACGCTGCCCCAAAGGATCCCTGACAGAAGGCTGTCAGTCTGCGTGCGTGGGGCTCAGTGCTGGGCAGAAGTCAAAGCCTGACAGCCAAGAACCTGCCTTCGCAGTCCTGCCTCAGCCTAGCTCCATCTTAGAAACGGTGGCAGCAGACCTTGGCAGGCCACAGCGAGAGCCAGGACCATGGGGGACGTCAGCACAACTCATCTGGCACAACAAAGCCAGCCCTCGGGATTGTTGCTTTCCTTCCGGGCTGACCACGGTCTGTGCAGAATGGAGAAACCCCCCGGCCCACACCTTGTGCAGATCTGCCTTGATGGCTGCCAGGATCTCCTTCTCCTTCTCCTGCACCATCCGCTCCAGGGCCTTCAGCTGCTGCATCCTGAACTCCAACGAGCGGCACCGGCCCGAGTTGAAGGCAGCTCTCGCCTGCCCCACGACCTGCTGCATCCTCTCCATGGCTGCTCAGCGCTGCAAGGAGAGAGCAGCAACCCCCCAGATCACTATGGGGCCATCAAGGGCTGCTCAGACCTGGGAACACTCAACATGGGGCCACCAAGAAACGTCCCGCCTGGCGCAAGGCTGGGAGATGTCCTTCTCCCTGGGTGACCTCCTGCTCCTTTGGTGACTGGTCAAGGCGCTCTGTCCTACCTGCGCAGGGTCCACCAACGACAGGCACCTCTCAGGGCAGCCCAGCATCTCTGGGTTTGGCTGATAGCTCTCGTTCTGTGGGTGCTTTCTCCCAGTTTGTGGATACCCTTAAACCCACCAGCCACCCCACCTTGTACTCACAGGAATGCTCCCGAGGAGCTGAAACATGGAGATGACCAAGAAAGCAGACAACTCATTAAAAAATGAAGGAAAAGAAGAAAGTTACCGTCAGAGAAGATTCTCTCTCCACCAGTCTCCTGCAGCGAGTGTGAGCAGGCGCAAGTCCAGCGATCTCTGCTCCCAGGAGAGGAGAGCTGGCCCCAGCCCAGGGCTCTCACTAGATACAAGATGCCTTTTGCCCAGTCACATCTTTGGTTTTGAATACACAAGCCTTGGATCACCGTGTTCAGCCACAGCAGTGACTCAGCACCCGTGTGGGACTGTGAGAGACCACGTGGCTCTGCCCACGTTGGGCGCACGAGGCCGGGGAAGAGCGTTCGCACGCTGCAGCAGCCAAGGAACGCAGCCCACGCTACCGACCCGATCCGAACAAACCCCAGGCAGGATGTGCCTGCAGGTGGGGGGCAATCAGGGGGTGGATTTGCACAGGAGAAACACTCTAGTTCCTCCACAGCTCCCAGCACCGCCTCGCCCCACGCGCCTCTTCGGCAGCCTGCCCGCGCTCCCCTGCACGAGCTCGGGGGATCCTTCCCCACGAGCGGGAGGGCATCGCACTGCGGACCTGCGCTGGGGCAGAGGCACCTCGGCAACATGCGGGTGACGTTCGGCCAAGCCACGGCCAGAGCTGGCAGCTGGGCAGGATTCCCCGGGAGACTGGAGGGACTTACCGTGCTCGGTTTATTATTTAAATTCTCAGTGTTTATTTAGTACTTGCAAAATAGATCATTAAAAAGGCTTAGCACATGGATTTTCACCACACGTGAAGAAATCCCACCTATTGCACAGTAAGTATAATTTTCTACTCTATATTAATTGCATTGAATAATAATTTTAAAATTTTCCTTATTGAAACATTAACATTTCTAACATCCTTTTACCTTAAACTTCTCCAGCATCCTCTCCCCAAGCTACAACAAGCCCCACATGATCTCCCAGTGCAAGACTACAGCAGACCCAAAAGCTCAAACACAGAGGAGTACACAGTCTTGGAGGAATCTGACCAGGAACAGGTTTCTACTGGTTTTGGCTGGGATGGAGTTAATTTTCATCTTAGTCGCTAAGTCTCTTTATCATAGGATGGTGCTGTGTTTTGGGTTTGTGACCAAACCAGTGTTGCTACCACACCACGGTTTAGCTGTTGCTGAACTGTGCTTGTGCAGCATCAGGGTGTCTCTGTTTCTCACACCACCCTGCAGCACGCAGGAAGGGGTCAGCAAGAAGCGGGGAGGGGACACTGCTGGGAGAGCTGACCCCAACTGACCAAAGGGATATTCCAGACCATATGACATTGTGCTCAGCAATAAAAGCTGAGAGGGAAAGAAGAGGAAGGCAGGGGCGGGCACTGGGAGTTACGGCGTCCGTCTTCCCAAGTCACCGTTACGTGTGACAAAGCCCTGCTTTCCTGGGGATGGCCGGCTGAGGGGAAGTGACGGATGGGTTCTTTGTTTGCTTGCATGCCCAGCTATCGCCTTACCTATTAAACTATTTTTATCTCAACCTTCAAGTTTTCTTACTTTTACCCTTCCAATTCTCTTCCCTGACCCACTCGGGGAGGGAGCGAGCGGCTGTGTGGAGCTCAGATGCCCACCTGGGCTGACCCACAACAGGGCACTTTGTGATTCCCACTTCTCTAAACAGGCCTTAAAGTTCTTTTGTATGAGCATAAAACACCCTTATCAGCAAAATACAGGCAGTGTGTGTATCCTCTTTGTAATTTTCTAACTGCCAAATAATTGTTACGGGCCAACGGTGAAGCCCAGAGCCCCAGAAAGGGCATCACCCTGCACCCCCTGACAGCTCTGGTTCACAGAGATCCATAAATATTTCACCTCAATTAAACAGCAAGGGGAACCTCACTAGATTTATTCATAACCGACACTATTGATAAAACGCATCAGCCAGCACAGCCTGCCTCCGACTTGTCACCAAGAGTGTGGCTGTTTGGAGCACAACAGAAGACAGACCATCCTGAAAACTGCAGGGAAAACACTGTCAACCCCATCACAGCTGAAACTTCAGCTCCTGTTTGTCACTAAAGGAAGGTAAGCGGTTTGGTGCAAGACACAGGGTGTGCGTCCCTGGAAGTGGTGCTCTGCGTGGCACGGGGTGGAGGTAGGGACTGGTATTTCTTGCTCTGCAGTCCTCCTTTTGAGAGCTTGTACCCACTGGTCCCTCTGTTTCAGCGTGGCTTTTTAGTAAGCAGGAGTCTGAGCCTTCTCTTGGTTAATGCCTCTCTAAGGCTACTCTGTGTGCTCGACAGCTCACTGAAATAACCCAGTACAAAAGAAAAAAAATGACTTCTCAGCTTAAGGAAACAGACGCAAAGCGAGCACTCAGAGCGTGACTTCCATACGGCGCCTTCTCCTCTCTTCAGTAGTAAGCCACCTGCGAGAGCAAAACACAACACCAACGTCCTGTGAAGGATCAGCTGAAACAAAACCAACTCCCTTTCTAGAACAGCCTGAAGCAAAGCCCCTTCGCTCAGGGTGATGTCCCCAGGGTCTGGCTCGCCTGCCTCCTGCCCCTCAGCATGCACTGACTGCTGGCTATCTTGGCTGCTGCACGAGCCCTGGGCACTGCCAGGGAAAGCATCACGCTCCCGCTCCACAGGGAACCTTCTGCATGCCCCACATTCCCTACTCTAATGAGGCTTTGCCTGATCTCAAACCAGGTCTACACACAGGAGAAGAAAAAGGCTCCTACCTCACTGTGACAGCCACAGCAGTGCTCTGAAACCTGCTCCTCCTTACCACACACTGAGCCAGCCCAGCCTCTGAACAGCCAGCACAATCAAGAGGGCTTTCCTCTTCAGCAGAGACTGGTGATTCTGAGAAAACCCAAATGATTTCAAGATGCCATGAGCTTCCCCCCGTCGCTGAGAAGGCATTCACCTAGGCTGGGTCACCTCCCTGGCTGGTGCTTCAAGGCCTGAGCCACTTGTTAGCTCTTACCCTTCCTCCTGGGCTCAGACATGCTGGTGGGTTATTCCCCCTGCTTGTTGGGCTCCTGCTCATCTCCTCGCAGCAGTGACAACAGAGTCCTGATCCACCCTGCCACCTCCTGTCCCCTCAGTGGCTGCTCCCTTAAGGTCACTACACACTCAGGATGCACGGTTGAGCCTTGCAAGGAGCAGGAGCTCAGGCGCACATAGTGCCTCATCTGCCAGCCACGGAGAAACACCAGCGATCACTCTTGGAGTTTCAAATCTTACCCTTCCACCTCAGGAGGCATCTTGAGTCCTCCAGTCAGCACCAGCAGGCTTCTGCCTCCTGCAGAGAGGTGAGGACATCCCACCCTTCCGCACTACCCAGTGGGAAACAGGGGAGGAAATGGAAATAACTGAGCTAAGGTCAGATGGGGGCTGCAACTGGGCGAGGAACAAGAGCTCGTCATAGCCCCAGGCTTTGGGACACAGCCTCCCTTTCCAAGGGTGCCATGGCACAAAACTGCAGCCTGAAGAGCAGCTCACAACGCTGCTGAAGAAAGCCCTGGAATTGAAATCACTCCTAACCCATCCAACACGTACCAACCTCTGCCTCTGGAGGGAGCTTCTCACGGGCATCACCTACCAAGGCAGAGCAACAAACAGTACAGCAGCCCAGGAGATCTCTCTAAGGGCTTTTCTATTCTAGATACCACTTGCACGAGTGAGAAGCAGATCTTCCTAACTTCAGGAGGGCCCAGATATTGTAAGTCTCATGACAGAAAAAACAGGCCAGGTGCTAAGTAAGGGCTACGGTGGCAAAGAATGAACAACTTGCAGAAGATCAGATGAATTGCACATGCACTCACGTAGATGGCAAAGAGCTAAAGTTCACCTTTATCACCACCGCTGTCACAATCCCCAGCAGGGCCAAGATGACCAGTCCCATTCGAGTCTTGTTAAACCGCTTCAAGAGGAAGAACTTGGCCCAATCCACCTTCTTCTGGCTGCCAGGTGGGTACCGGAGTTTGTTCGTACCCTCCATCTTCAGGTCCTTGATCAAGCAGGCGCGGCGGTGGGAGAAGGTCTCAAAGCTGTGCTTGCCGTGGTAGGCGCCCATCCCGCTGTTACCTGAGGGACACAACCCAGGCAGGTCACACCACAGGCTCAGCCAGTCCAGCCTTTGGCCATCTGAGGCCACCAGCAGGGCAAGAAGCAGCACAGGGAAGTTGCAGGTGCTTGCCAGCCACACTGCATGTGACCTGCCCTGCATCTGCCTCGCTGCGGTTTAACAAAACTTCTCCTCTCTATTCCTGCAGAGAGGACAACCAATCCGTCCTCTCCGCAGCAATTCTCAGTCTCCAGGATGTTCATCTGTACTCCATCCCTCTTCATCCCCACCCTGTTTTCACTACACACTCTCCAGTATTGCATTGTGTTCCTCTGTGCACCATTCACCATGCCTCCAAGCCATCTCCAGCTCTTCCCTGGATTTAGGTCCCCCTCAGAGCACCATGAGAGGCTCCGAGATCCGACCGGTGAGAAGGCTTTCCCGAGGAGCTTTGCAGAGTACACCTCTGTTTTTCAATTCCAGCACAGTGTGTGCTGTCCATAGCAGCAGAACTGTTCACTGTCACCTTCTAAGCACTGTAACACCCAAACCCTCTTCTGCAAAGCTCCCGCAGGCTGCTCCATCACCTGTGCCAGTTCTCTCCAAGCCGAAGTCCTACCCTTCCTCCTGCAATTACTGCTAATCACTCCGATCACAGCTAATGTTTTTAACACACATTTTGCATCAGTCTGCACTAAATGCTTCCATCTTCCCCAAAACACGACCAAAGGTTTTTCCCTTTTGGCCCCTGTCCTAATGTACTCCCAGAATTTATTATTATTATTATTATTATTACTGAGATCTGCTATACGGAGACCCTTCAGCTGTAAGAGGAGCAGGGGCACCTGGACACAAACCAACAGCTGCTGTTCCCTGGGTCACACCGTGCAGCAGGTCACTACACTTAAGGAGCTCCAGTAACTTACCGACACCACCAAAGGGTAAAGTTGAGAGGAAGAAATGCATGATGACATCGTTTCCAGTAAAACCCCCACTGGAAGTTTCCGAGATGACTCTTTTGATTAACTGGCAAAAGAAATAAAACAAAACATTACAAAGGCCCAGAAGAGACCAGTCCATGTAACTGAGCAGGACTGCGAGGGGAGCTACAAGCCAGCAGGCCATCGTGTTCACTTTCTCTGGCTGACAACTCAGGCAAGCAGTGTTAACTCCGGGAAACTGGGAAAGTTCACAGGAGGGATGGGAAAGATGGAAACCTGGGAACTTGCCTCCCTAGCAATACATTAAACAGAACTAAATTAATCATTAAATACTTCATCTCATCAAAGACGAAATTCAGCTTTTTGTATTCTATTTTACAAAGCCATGCAAATGCAAAGCACTTCAGCAGGAGCCTGGGAGGCTCCAGCAGCTCTGGGGACACTCGTGGCCCCTGGGAGCCAAACGCTGCGATTCACGTGCAAAGAGGAGCCGACACGGACCCAGTGGGGAGCCGTGCCTGGGACCCTCCACGTTCAGCACTGAACGGCGCAGACACGTCTCTGTGGGTGAGCACAGCCCACACCCACCTTCTTGTTGTTGGAGAAGACATAGAGGGCAAGGGGCTTCTCCCGACGGTTGATGAACTCAATGGCTTCGTCTACGCTCTTCACGGTCAGAATGGGGAGGACCGGTCCAAAGATTTCCTCCTCCATCACCTTTGACTCCGGAGAAACGTCGGTGAGGATAGTGGGGGCTGAAGCAAGAGACAGCGTGAGCCAGACACAAGATCCCACCCTCCACCTCCTCACCCCAGCAGCAGCCAGAAGCACCTATGAAGCAGGAGGCCTCGTCAGCCTCTCCTCCATGAGCGATCTTCTGCCCTTCCAACAGCCCCAGGATCCTCTTGAAGTGATGTTTGTTGACGATCCTTTCATAATCGGGAGACGACTTCACGTCTTCCCCGTAGAACTCCTGCCACAGGGCACAGCAGAACCAAAGTGCTCAGCGGACCGTCACAACAGCCACAGCTCCAGGGCTGCAGCTCCAGAAACTCAGACCTGGGCTCTAACGGGGACAACTCCCCCGGCACGAGGAACTCCACGCTCACCTGCAGAGTCGCCTTGATGTTCTCCACCACCTCGCTCTGGATGGACGGGTCGCAGAGGATGTAATCGGGGGCGATGCAGGTTTGCCCACAGTTCATGTACTTCCCCCACGTTATCCGCCTGCGGGGGAAAGGCAGATAGATGGGTTCTCCATGCTCAGGCCCTTCCAGACCCCACAGCCCAGCCGACAGCGCCCCAGCGACACCCGCGCCCTGGGGACAGGGGCCCAGAGATGTCCACCTGTCCCACGCGGTCCCTGCCCCACTGCTGAGACCCTGCCAAGGGCTTCAAGACCTGCAGGCGACGGCCAGGTCACAGTCCTTGTCGATGTAGCAGGGGCTCTTCCCGCCCAGCTCCAGGGTGACGGGCGTCAGGTGCTTGGCGGCCGCCGCCATCACGATTTTGCCCACTGTGGAGTTGCCGGTGTAGAGGATGTGATCGAACCGCTGGGTCAGCAGCGCCGTTGTCTCCGGCACTCCTCCAGTGACCACGGGGTACAGCTCCTGCAGGGCAAACAAGGTTTAAGGCATGTATATCAAGGCAGCAGCTCTGCATGGGGCAGACTTGCTTGTGAGCTACGTTAAGAGCTGACAAAAGATCGTGATAACAGAGACAAGCCCTGCTCCTTCCCCCAAGATGAAGTTTCACTTGCCACTTTGTGCTGCATGAACTAAAAGAAATGGAGGTTGAGACCAGGGCTGAGTCAGGCTGCAGACCTACTCCCGCACATTAAGACCTAGGGCACACATGAACCCTGGCTCTCCTGAGGACTGTTCTCCTTCCTTAGCTCTCACCCCCTGCCTAGAGAAAGCACTAACTCCCCAGAGTTTCCCCAGAGGAAAGTGCACAGGGAGCCATGCTGGCAGAGCAACAGCCTATCTCAGTGACAACGCAGAATGGATGTCAGAACTGCCAGAGAAGGAGAGGAGAAACAACATGTCCCCCTGTGAATGTAGTTCATCAGTGACAAGTGGTGTTCCTCAGGGGTCAATGTTGGGACTGACATTGTTTAACACCTTTGTTGGTGACAGGGACAGTGGGATTAAGTGCACCCTCAGAAAGTTTGCTGATGACACCAAGCTGTGTGCTGTGGTGACACGCTGGAGGGAAGGGATGCCATCCAGAGGGACCTGAACAGGCTGGAGAGGTGGGCCCGGACAGACCTCATAAAGTTCAAAAAGGCCAAGTGCAAGGTCCTGCACAGGGGTCAGGGCAATCCCAAGCACAGATCCAGGCTGAGCAAGGAGTGGATTGAGAGCAGCCCTGCGGAGGACTTGGGGGTGTTGGTGGATGGAAAAGTGTCTGTGAGGCAGAAACGTGCGCTCACAGCCCAGAAAGCCACCCATGTCCTGGGCTGCAGCCAGAGCAGGGGGGGCAGCAGGGCCAGGGACGGGATTCTCCCCCTCTGCTCCGCTCTGGGGAGACCCCCCTGCAGTGCTGGGGCCAGCTCGGGGGCCCCCAACAGCAGAAGGACAGGGAGCTGCTCAAGCGGGGCCAGAGGAGGCCACAAAGATGCTTGGGGGGCTGGAGCAGCTCCCCTGGGAGGCCGGGCTGAGAGAGTTGGGGGGGTTCAGCCTGGAGAAGAGAAGGCTCTGGGGAGACCTTCGAGCGGCCTCCCAGGGCTTAAAGGGGGGGGACAGGAGAGGTGGGGAGGGACTCCTTCTTGATCAAGGAGTATAGTGATAGGACAGGAGATAACAGGTCTAAACTGAGAGAGGGTAGATTTAGATTAGATACAAGGAAGAAACTCTTCCCTGTGCAGGGGGTGAGGCGCTGGCCCAGGGTGCCCAGAGCAGCTGCGGCTGCCCCCTCCCTGGAAGGGTTCAAGGCCAGGTTGGACGGGGCTGGGAGCACCCTGGGCTGGTGGAATGTGTCCCTGCCCGGGGCAGGGGGTGGGACTGAGTGATCTTTAGGGTCCCTGCCAACCCAAACCATTCTATGAATCTATGACATGAAAACCTGGGGCATAGTGCCACTGAGTAAATGACGCCAGCATCCAACGCAAACTTGTGCTTACACAGTGGCATCCCCAGCACAGCGTCCAAAAAAGCTGTTATTGCAGTGGGAAGTATATACACATCTCTTTACACAGTCATGAATGTCAAAAGGGCTGTCACACTGCAGCAACATTATATAGACACATTAGGTCACACAAACGCAAGAAGAATACGCCAATGTGCCTTTGTACTGTAAAGAGTTATTCAGCCCTTCCTGTACCTCCTGCTTACGCTCCTTGGGAGAGAGTGGGCACCCGACTTGACCCTAACCTGCAGGAGCCCTCCGAAAGCATGACAGCTCTTTTCTCAAGACAATCATATCAGGTGTGGGGCCACACTCACCCGATCAAGATACTGGGGGAGGAGATCAGCCACTAGCTGAGCCGTGTTCGCGCTGATCTCCGACGGCTTCACCACCACGGCGTTGCCTGCAAGACAAACGCAGCACGGCCGCTGAGCCCTCGCGTTCCTCTCCCACACCCGCCCCACGGCCCCACGAAGGACAGGGGCTGTGGTGGGTCCCCACCTGCCGCGATGGCCCCGACCAGAGGCTGCATCACCAGGACAAAGGGGTAGTTCCAGGCCCCGATGATCAGCACCACCCCCAGCGGCTCGGGGCAGATGTACGCCTCGTCCCGCATCGTCAGCAGGTTCTTCTTCACGGGCTGAGGGGCTGCCCAGGACGGCAGCTTGTCCATGGCCAGGGCCAGCTCCCCCAGCACGCCCAGGATCTCGTGGCTGTACGCGTTGGGCCCACACTGCAACGACAGGGAGCTTGGGGAGGGGACGGCCAAGGCACCCACCTCCTGCCCAAGGAAACAAGGTAAATTCTGCTGGTTCAAAGTGTCTGACACTGGTGACGCTGCCCCAAAGGATCCCTGACAGAAGGCTGTCAGTCTGCGTGCGTGGGGCTCAGTGCTGGGCAGAAGTCAAAGCCTGACAGCCAAGAACCTGCCTTCGCAGTCCTGCCTCAGCCTAGCTCCATCTTAGAAACGGTGGCAGCAGACCTTGGCAGGCCACAGCGAGAGCCAGGACCATGGGGGACGTCAGCACAACTCATCTGGCACAACAAAGCCAGCCCTCGGGATTGTTGCTTTCCTTCCGGGCTGACCACGGTCTGTGCAGAATGGAGAAACCCCCCGGCCCACACCTTGTGCAGATCTGCCTTGATGGCTGCCAGGATCTCCTTCTCCTTCTCCTGCACCATCCGCTCCAGGGCCTTCAGCTGCTGCATCCTGAACTCCAGCGAGCGGCACCGGCCCGAGTTGAAGGCAGCTCTCGCCTGCCCCACGACCTGCTGCATCCTCTCCATGGCTGCTCAGCGCTGCAAGGAGAGAGCAGCAACCCCCCAGATCACTATGGGGCCTCTTTCCTACAGATGGAAACTGATTTTTCCCCGCAGGCGCCGGGCACAACTCTCAACCACTAGCTGCAAGCCCACCTCCCCAGCTGGAGGGCTGGTATCCGTCAGCCCCTGCTCTTCATTAATTTGCTGCAGTTTGTGATTTAGAAAAGTTTGTAAAGGAGCACGGGGAGCGCGCACCCGCAAGGGCGTCCCGCCGGGCCTCGGCCCCTCAGGCCAGGCGGCCTTTCCCCGCGTTCCGGCGCCCAGCCCCGCCACGGCGAGCGCAGGGTTCCGGGGGGCGGCGGCCCCTCCGAGGGACCCCAGAGACCCCCCCCCCCCCCCCCCCCCGGGACCCAACCGGGCTCAGGCGAAACCCCCGGCCCCGCTCCCCGCAGCCGCTTCCGCCTTCCGCTCACATGACAGCCCCCCCCCCCGCGGTGGAGTGGGAGAGGCCGCGGGGGTTACCGCATACCCACCGCACCCTCCCCTCACCCCCCCGGACGGGCGCAGAATGGGCGCGGCTGGGGCGCTATGGCGGCGCCCGAACCCGGAGCAGGAGGAAGATGAGTAGGAGGAGGAGCGAACCGAGCGGCCCCGCGGCGGCGGATGGAAGCGGCTGAGCCCTTCCCGCCGCCGGGCTGGGCCGTTGCCGCCGTATCGTTGCTGGCGGAAGCAGCGGCGGGCGGGAAGGGGAGCCGCGTCCCTTAGCTGCGGGCGTGAGCTGAAGCGAGCGCCAGCGATCGGGGAGTTGGGCAGAAAGCGTGAGTTATAGGAAGAGCAAAAAGGCCGGAGCCCGGCGAAGAAGGTGAACCGAGCACCCCCGGCAGCAGTACCTCCCTTCCCACCGTCAGGGCTGGCTCCTTCCCTCCTCCCAGCGCCTCCGCTTCTGCCGGCTGCGTCGCAGGAATGCCGGCTGCCGGGGAAGGCTGCCAACCCCGCCGGGAGCTCCGCCGAGCTGGGGCTGGGACTGGCACGGACTGGGACCCAGCAGATTGTGAAATGCTGACAGATGCGGGGCAGGGAAGCGCGTTGCGTGAGAAGCTTTTTTGGGTGGTGGAGGGGAGGGGGTGGGGGGGCAAAGTCCCCCCTCGGGGTTCCTTATCTAAGGACCGTGAGTGGCACAGGGCAGCTTTACCTTTTGGTTTTTCCCTGCAGAGCGAACGCTGCACGAACTCGCCGAGCGCCTCAGCTTTGGGCAGCGTTTCCGAGCCCAGGTGCTGGTGAAGGGGATCACGGTGCCCTGCCAGCAACCTCCTGCGTGGGTGGGTGGGAGAGAGACAAATCGGTCAAGGAAAATGGGCCAGCAAACACTGAAAATGCAGGTGGTGTTGTGTAGGAGACAAAGCAATCAAGAAGAATAACCCAGCCAGGACAGTGGAATTGACCTTGATACAGCACTCACGTGGGAAACAAGACAAAAAAAAGCAGTGAGAGGAGCTGAGAGAAGGCTGGGCTCATTCCAGTTACAAATAGTCATGCCACAACTTGTTTTAAGAAATGCAAGGGGATTATTTGAAAATTATTCACAGGTTGTTATGCACTACTGTTTCTGACACACTTTTAAACACAGGCCATTTATTGCTAATGCTCCTCAGCTGAAACAATGCCCAGCTAAATCCCTGCTCACCCCACACCTCTGTGACACACAGGGTCAGCAGCTGGGTGCTCATCCCCAGATGGAGCTAACATGGAGCACGCGCTCCCTCCCCCACATTTCATGACATTTCCCCAGATTAATGTGGCTCTCCCGAGGTTGGGGGGTGCCCTTCAGCTCAGCAGGCTGTGACTCCCCCCCAAACACGAAGCTCGGTTTTCGTCAAGTCAGTTGGCTTTTGCTAACAACTCGCGGGCTGCGGCTCAGCCAGCACCTGAACATTTCACAAGGTATTGCACAAATCTCAGCAGTAAACAGTCTGCTGCAGGGAAAAAAAAAATGAAGAGCAGCTGCCAATATTTGCATGCTGGAGGCAACACATGAATGAAAAAACGGCTGGGCTTGACAGAGCCCTTGCATTGTGATACATGTAAAGGAGCTGGGAGACGGGGAGAAGTGGGAACGATCCTTGCAGGAGCATTACCTGATGCAAACATGCTCTCCTTGATCCTGTTAGCATCCTTGCAGGTAGGAGCTCTGTCCAGGCACCACGCTGTCTGGAGGTCCAAGAAAAATTAGATAAGGAATTAATGCTACTGCAATCAGAGTAAAAGTCTTTCTCAGCATGAAATATTGCACTGCAATGCATCCTCTGCAGGCAGCGCGCCCACCAAGGGATGTCTGCAGGAGTGGGGAGATGGTTATTTACCTATGTTTTCCACAGTGGTCATTCTCGAAGAGCCTGTAAAATTCTCACCCTTCAGCCTGAGGATTTTCATGTCACAGCAGTGCTTCTTGTGCTTGGCATCACACACAAGAGGCCAGCGTCCCAGCTCCCAGTTCATCCCAGTAGCCAGCAGGCTGGTACTGTGCCACGATTTTGCAGAAACTCAGTCTTAAGGCTTCTCTGTATTTGCAGAAATGAGAGTGCAGCAGTGTGCTGCATCCTGGGAGATAGTCCCTTTTGGTTCTCATCAGGGACATCTTTTAGCCAATTATGGACAGGAAACATGGTTGAGGGCGTTTTAAGCATTGCAAAATAACAGTTGAGTCTCCTTGGAGTGGCTGGGCGAGACACGTGGATTTCAGGGAAGTGTGGGATCTTGAGATGGAAGAATATCCCAGACAGCACCCAGTGAAACACATGGTCTGCAGCGTGCTCCCCACGCCTAGGAGCTGACAGTATTTTCTATTTTTATTCAGTCACTAAGAAACAATAAAGAAGGGAACTATTTATGGGAAAGTAATTGAACTCCAGAGGAATCGGGAAGTAAGCAGTGCTGGGGGTGCTCTGCTCCCCAGGGCTATACTTACAGCAGCAAGAGAGGTTTTATTGAGAAACTGAGCCTGAGACTCCCCTCTCCCGGCCATTCCTCTCAGCCCCTTGCTCTCATTCCTCGCACTGAGTCAATTATAGCACGGCACTGCGGTGAGCCCGGCAGAGCATGCCTTTTTGCTGTCTCTTGCCCTGCTCTCAAAAGCATCCAGCAGAGTCTGGGGAGGGAGGACTTTGGTTTATAAGATAAGCTGTGCAGTATTTGGTTTCAGGAGTCCAGCAAATAACACAGCTAATCAATAAATGTTGGTTTAGCTCACACATTACGCTCGTAGAAATTCAAGTTTTTAGCTAGGCTGACACTCCTCAATTTCTGCTTAAACGTCTTGAGTTCCAAGTATTTTCTAAAAGTCACACAATCCGGCCAGTGGCACAAGATGGGCAGATACAGAAGCCCAAACAACACTCAATCATAAAAGCGGGTACAGAAGATTAACAACAGGGAGAGGTTTTAAGGAACCTACATGAATAAATGCAGCTCAGTTCATTTATGGCATCACTTGTTTTGAAAGCTGTGGCTGATCTCACATTTGCAAGAACAAGATACTGTGTAGTACAGAGCCATGGTCTGTGGGCTGCATTGTAGACATAGCTGGGGCCATGGAAAATGTGAAAGCAACACAAAGAAACAATGAAAATGATTGGCACAAAGACTGCAACAAGACTCAACAGCACCACTGGCACTTCGTTTGCTTTCAGGCAAAGAGGAGGGGGGAGCCTGCCACATACAAAAGCCTATTGAAAAGGTGTTTGTCCGAAGAAGCAGTGCCAAGACTTACTTAGACTGGGCTCCAGCTGACTTAAAGACCTCAAGAGAGGGGTTACTGAGATATACTTCACTGATCTACAGAAAGGAGGAGCTATGGGGGCACTTTTTACAGAGCCACAGGGCTGTGGCTCAGGTTGGACAGGGAAGCTCAGGATGAAAGGAGATTTGCTTAAAGACTTAAAGGCATCCTGGACAGTCAAAAAAGATAGCAAGCAGAGTTCAGAGCAGACAAAAAAGTCCAAGGATCAAAATTAAACAACAACAAAAACAAACCAAAAAAACCCCAAACCAACCAAAAAGAACCCATGCGAAAAAATAGAGGAAAAATAGAGGAAGCAGGAGTCAAAAAGGAGGCAGGTCACAAGTCTGGTCACAAGCCAGCCTATCTGAATTTCAAAGCCTCAACATGCTTTGAAAGCAACAGTATCCAGCTTTACTTGCTCTAGACAAAAAAGAAAGCTTCCCTTTTCAGTGCAGCTGGGCTGTGCACTGCACAGTGCTGTGACACCAGTGGATCATAGCAACAGTTTACCTCTGAACCCAGAGGTGATGATGGCGATGCTTTGACATCACTGTACAAGAAAGTAGCAAGAAGTATGCAGAACCTAGTGAGCCCCAGGAACAACTCACACCTCTCAACTGAAAAATGCTTCTCAGAATAATTTGTAGTAGCTTAGTTGCAAGTTAAATTAACTAGATTTTGTTCTCTGTGTCAGAGGAAGAGCTGAGATTTCAATTTCTTGCTTATAAAAAGCAAATGTCAGTGTCAAAGTGTGTTTTGGATTCCTCAGTCAACATGATACACTGTGGAGAGAGTGGAACAAGTACGGAACACGGTGCTCTTGAGTAGATGCTAGAGAGCTGAACTAGAAAAGCTGCACATCAAATATCTCCTTTCAAGTTCTATCTTTCAAAAGGCTGAAAAAAAAAGTATTTGGTAGAAACAAGCACCTGCTGTTCAGCGCAGAGAGCTGAAGACAGAGGACAGCTTCAGGATCTTTGTGGAATGAGTTTATGCAGAAAGACAGGCCATGAACATTGGTCTCCTCCTCCTGAAAACAGCCAACAAGAATAGCCCTTTTCTTCTCCTCCTGTTTGTGCAGCTGTAGGCTTGCTGGCAAGAGTGGAAGGAGAATGAGCTTGAATCCTGAGGAAAAAAAAAAAAGAAAACCAACAAAAACCAGTGAGTTCCTGGGAAAAACAGCCTATCTCCTAGACTTGTGCATTAAAGCTTTTGCTTTGTTCTGAGATTTGTGTTCAGACATATCATTAGCATTCCCTGGTCACTCCTTCCTCATCCTCTCTATCTACCAGTCACAACCGTAGGGTTTTTTTAAATAATAAACTGGGGAAAAAATTGACAGTACAACTAGGAAATACAACAGCCACATATGAGCTACCTCAGCATACCTCAGCCTGGGAGAGGATATTAGCTACAAGGTGGACAAAGCCTGTTCTTTGTAAAGTTTGGACAGAAATTGTAACAACTGCCAGTTTTTGTCAACTAGCTCTGTATATGCTGCTTTGGCAGCCCAGACAGCTCCTCTTTACAAGAGGCAACAAATAAGCACCTTGTTGAAAGAACATACAGCTGTTACCCAGGAACCTACTTAGCATATTTGTTTTCAAACCGAAGTTTAAAAAAAGTCAAAAAAAGTGCAGGGTAAATTGTTTTCCTAAAGCAGGGGAAAACAAACTCGAGGACACTTTGTGCCAGAGCTATGCAGAGATAAGGAACTCACTCAGGTTGCCCCATCCTGCCCTGGTGGCATGTCCAGCTGCTGAGGGGAACATTCAGCAACTGATTTAACCAGCCCAGTACAGACAGGTTGGTTTTTTAAGTTAACACCATTGGCCTTTGGTTACAGAGACACAGAAACTCAGTTTTACCATAGAAACACTTCTAGTGTCAGTATTTATTTTTACCTTAATATACATTTATACAGGCCATAATAAAAAGGCTATTACGCAACAGTTCAGTGAGTTATTACCTAGTTTCAAGAATAATGCATGCAATTACAAAGGAGAGGTAGAAACACCGTATTAAAGACCTAAAAATACAAACATTATATAAACAAACACTTTCAAATTAACTGTTGGAATTTCATACAGATAAATAAGGTAAAAAGTACATTACTCTGTCAAAGTAAAGGAAACACATGGTTATCCGAACACTGAAACAATATTTTGATGTGTAAGCCCTGTACAACTTTGTCAAATAGTTCAGACCACTGTGTTTAAGAGGATTAAAATGATTTTGTCCTGGAGAATGGTTTATTCAAGTATTCAAGCAGTTGAGTAACAAAAAAAGTCCCAAAAATAAAGTATAGGAACCATTTCCAGAGAAGCTGATCTGCCTAAATACTTTGCAAATCACTGTCCTGATCATCTCATGGGATGCTTGAAATGATAATGCCTATAAGGCTAAATGAAGCTTCCCACCTCTCCCCCAAAATGCACACAAAATAATCATGATTTTTCACACACTGTATGTAGATATTCTACATCAATTTATCAGCATCTCAAACCCCAACATTATTTTCTGGTTTTGCATGGTTCCTTGCAGAACCTTTCAGTTTACAGTATTTATTGTAATACTGCCCAAGAAACAAACTACAGAGGACTG